GAGGGAAAGCAGCAGTGGCAAGACAGTGAGGGCAGACAGGATGCGTGTGGGAGAGCCACAGGGGCCCCAAACCACCAGGGGAAAGGGAGACGCAGAGAAAGAGAAAGGATAATAGAAAAAAGGAAAATGAAGAAAACAACAACAAAATGAAAAGACAGAGACAGAACAAGCAGGAAGAGATGCCCAGAGCAGACGAGACAGGAGGAAAGCAGAAAGGTGGAGGCAGGAGAGAGTGGCAGGGACGGACAGGCAGCACAGGGGCGGATAGGGACGGCAGGACAGAGACAGGAGTGGTCCAGAGTGCAGGAGCAGGAGGGGAGGAGGGGAGGACGGGCGGGAGGGGAGGAGAAAAGAGTGATGTGGAAGGGTCTGGCCCTGGAGTCCGGGGGCTGGTTTATCAAATGTAGCAAAGTGCAGGTTGAGAAAGTCAGAATGGACCTTACTTGCCTTCGACGACGGTAGCAAACTTTTTGTTGCTACGAGGGATCTCAGCCCCACAATATTTCACTTTAAAGAGAAATGGAAACAACTCTTTGATCTCGGGATCCTCAGGGGTGCCACGGGAAGGGGTGGGGGAGAGGGGCAGGGGAGAGGAGCAGTGGGGAAGGCGGGGGAGTCAGGGGCAATCAAAATAAAAGAACAGCGACCACGGGAGGGATGTGGGGGACAGGATGGGGGCCAAGCGGCAGAGAATGAGAGGCGTGTCAGAAAAAACTGAGGGCGTGCGTCTGTGTGCGCGCGTGTCCGAGTCTCCCTCTCTGTCTCTCCAACTCGTAGGTATGATCGTAGGTACGTTATGTGTGTGATCCATCCCTGGGTTGCTGGCGGAGGGGGAGGGGAGACGGGAGAGGGGAAGAGGAGGAAGGGAGAGGGCCACCCCCAGCCCGGCCCCTGGCTGGCTCAACTCCATCGGTCCGTCTGGGAGGGGGCCGGGGGGTCTTGCAGGAGCAGAGTCTGACCCGTGCAGGATGAGGGGAGGGAACTGAGGGAGGGGAAGATCGGGTGGGGGCAGGAGGGAGAGGGGTGGGGCGGGGTGGCAGTACCTCAGTGATGCCGAACGGTATGTTGCCCACGTAGAGGCGCCGGGCCTGCCTCGTCATCTGGCTCCCGACTACGGGCACCGGCGTCGGGGTCACGGCCAACCCATCGGGGGTCATGGTGGGGAGAAGGGCGGTGGCTGGAATCTGACCCGCAGCTTCAAGAGGAAAGAGAAGATGAACGACATCAGGGTGACCCGTCCCCAGCTCAGGTCCCGCCACCAGAGAACACCCCTTCAGACGAAGGCTCCTTTCCCCCCATCCAGCAGCAACAGCCCCCACGCAGGGGCTAGAGCCCGTGGACGTAGGTGGAGGCCTCGTCACCACCGGGAGCACCCCGACCCGCCGCGCTCACCCCAGGGCAGCCGGTGGGGCCTACCTTGCATGGCCTTGTACTGCATCGGGGTGATGTGCTCGAAGCCGGGAGGCGGCACGTCCCAGTACTTGCGGACCTTCTTCTTCTTCTCATGGCGGGGGGAGCGACTGGGGGGAGGGAAAGTGGGGCAGGGCACCCTCAGTCTGACCAATAGTCGGCCCGCGAGCCCTCCCAAGAGCCCACCAGCTCCCCCACCACGTCAACGCCGCTCTGTGAGAGGCAGAGGGTCTGGGCGATGTCCCCGGGACTGGACGGGGCAGGCAGTGGGTACAGGGTGGGGAAGGCCGAGGGCGGGCCCGGGCAGGAGGGGCAGGGGAGAAGCTCACATCAGTCCACCGTGCTCCTCTTTAGCGCCTCTGGTCAAAGGTTTGCTGGGGGAAGGGAGGGAAAAGCATGGGGAGGGTGACTGGGACCCTCGTCTTCCCCACATGCCACACCCCCAAGGGCACTGCGCCCCCTTGTGCCCTGCAGCCTCCCCTCCATTCCTCAGCCCAAGGGAGGAAACAATAAAAGGAAGGGGCCAAGACAGACCACGCGAGTGCAAGGGGGAGGCAGGAGACCACCCCACTCCGCCCTCCTCGCCTAAGGGGCAGAAGGCACAGGGAGACTACGAGGCAAGAGGCACTGGCGGCAGAGCCCACGACTGGGAGAGGTGAGCAACCCGGCCGCCCACGCCCCGCGCCCCTTCTCCTGGAGGCAGGGAGGACTGAGACTGACAGACTGGCCTCGCAGAGTCCGCAGAGAACCAGAGTAGAAAGGGGACGGCCTCAAGGAGAGGCAGAGGACAGCCCCTCTTCTTGGAGAAGACAGTCGGCCCCAGGCTCCACGCCGGAGCCCACTGCCCCCAGCAGACCGGCCCAGGGCGGGCACTGGCCTGGAGGCCCCCCCAGGGCCCCTGGGCAGGGTACACTGGCGACACCCGCTCCGGTCCGGCCCCAGAGGTCCCAGTACCTCCGCCGCCGTCTGTCCCGGGAGGCGCTGCGGTG